GCATTTACTGTAACCCAAAGAAGTTAGGTAAAAGGACAGATGAAAAATAGTATATCAAACAGTTTTTATATTTTTTAACATTCTTTTAATTAAAAATTCTATTTAAAGAAAAGAAATTTTTTTGTACAATTGTATGATTCTTTATTTCTAGTGAGCAGTCTCATTCCATTCGTGGTATATTGCTATTCACTGCAAATTTTCCTCTGTTCTCTAACCTTTCCTTTCTTCTTCCTCTTCTGTAACTTTTCTTTTGTTGTCACTATCTTAATTGTTTTATGTATCTCATTCAATGTTATGTTTCAGTGATTTTCAGCTGTTGAATCATTTTTACTTCTGATTTTTTTTTTTTTTCACATCACAAAATTCTTACAAAATAAATTAGGCGGGGGATTTCAAGTTTTTTCACAGAGGAAAATTCTTGAGACACTCATGACGACAAGAACTTCAATTCACAATCGTTCTAGAAGGTTCTGTCTCTCTTCCCTTCTTCTTTGATTTGATAGTCTTGTCTTTAACATATTTCTGTTTTTCCAGCGATCCGGTCTTAAGCAAACTTCTCAAGAACACCAATTTCGATAGACTTCACATGGTCAGAAATCTTAATCTGTTTTAAAGCTTTCTCTTAATCCTCTGTTCAAGAAATAAACCTAAGGTTTCTTTTTTGGTCTTTAGGACCAACTGTTGCAGAAAGAGATAGAACAGCTAAAAACTCTTTTAACATCAAGAAAATTACATCCTCAGAGAGTTTCATCAAGTGATGAGGTTTAAAGAAATTTTTCTCCAAAGATTTTTCTCAAGAAAATCGAAAGAGATCTCAAAAATCTTCAATTTTTACTCCACAGATTGATTTGCTGCTTCAAGAAGATGAAGTCTTAGTACGTCATGAAATGGAGACTGTTCTTCGACGAAAACTGTTCTTGGAAGATTGTCGAAACCAAGATTCTTCTATCCCTAAGGTTATAAAGAAACAAACTAAGCTTTGGCTGCCTTAGAACACAAGTAAGCTTATGAGTACCTTCTTTGAGATTCAAGAGAAATGTTTTTATGATTTCTTGATTTAGGAGACAAAGAAGCTGGTGAGCGAAATCGCGGGTTTGGAGCTGCAAGTGATGTACTTAGAAAGATATCTTCTTTTGTTATACCGCAGATTCTTCAACAACAAAATTACATCTAAGTTAGAATCAGAAGAGAAAGAGAGAACAGAGGATTTTCATGGGTCTACTAAACTCATTGGTTCACCGAACACCGCGGTTCTTAGTCCGCAGAAAGTTCTAGAAGACTCTGCAATATTCCGAAGCCACTCATCGTTGTCTCATTGTTCTGGATATTCCTTTAGAATGTCTCCCCAAGCAATGGACTCATCATATCATCACTCTCTTCCATTCTCAATGCTTGAGGTACAAAGCTATATAAAATATTTGTTTTGAGTTCTTTTTAGCAATGGTGATATATTATTTCGGTTACAGAAAGCTGATATTGATGCGATGATGGGACATATGTTTCTGAAAACGTTAGCAACTCACCAAACAGTTTGTCTGAAGAGTTGATCAAGTGTATCTCAGAAGTATTTCGTCAACTCACGGATCCAGAATCAGTCGATGATGATCGAGAATCAAGCAGCCCTTTCCGCGGGAAAGAGTCTCTGAAGGTCATTAGCCGACCGTACGACAAATTATTGATGGTAAAATCGATATGTAGAGACTCAAAGAAGTTAAATGAAGTTGAACCAGCTTTAAAAAATTTCAGGTTTCGTTCAATCTCAGGCTCTTACAATATCAACTTCTTTTGGTTTATATGAATTAAAGTCTGTTTTTTTATATTATTGCATCATTGTTCGTTCTTCAATTTAAATGTTTAGGTCACTTGTTAATAAGCTAGAAGGAGTGAATCCAAGGAAGTTAAATCATGAAGAGAAGCTAGCTTTCTGGATTAACATACACAACTCTTTGGTTATGCACGTAATGTCTCTTAATCTAAATTCTCGACTCGATAAATCTACTATGTAGACATTTAATTCGTTGTTTTGGGTTTGTTCGTCTCTTTCGCAGTCGATTCTTGTCTACGGGAACCCAAAGAACAGTATGAAAAGAGTCTCTGGATTGCTGAAGGTAGGGTGATCTTACGTACAGACTTACAGTGTAGTTCTTACTTAGGACACAAGTCATCGGTATAGTAACAATGTCTAGGGCTTTTGTACTGTGTAATATAGGCAGCGTATAATGTTGGAGGTCGAAGCTTGAACTTAGATACCATTCAGACATCAATCCTTTGTTGCCGCGTCTCTCGTCCAGGACAGGCAAGTTTAAGATTGATTTCGGTTCTGAAATTTTCGACATTTTCAAGTTTGCTCGAGGGTTTAGTAGGATTTGCTTTTAAGCAGGTCTTTAGGTTCTTGTTTGCTTCTAAATCAAAGAGTAAAGCTGGAGACTTAAGTAGAGATTATGCTATAACTCACCCTGAGCCTCTTCTTCATTTCGCACTTTGCTCTGGGAACTTCTCAGATCCATCAGTAAGCAAAATCTCAAAACATTGTTTCTTGTCTTACACGCTATTCATGCAAAGGATTAGGTTTATAACCACACCGTTCTTTTAGGTTCGTATTTATACGCCCAAGAACGTGATGATGGAGCTAGAATGTGGTAGAGATGAGTATGTAAGATCAAACGTAGGGATCTCTAAAGACAACAAGATTCTTTTGCCGAAGCTTGTTGAATTATACGCCAAGGACACTGAGCTTTGCAACATTGGCGTTCTCGAAATGATCGGGAACTGTCTGCCTTGCGATGCAAGAAATAGAATCGAGCAATGTCGAAACAAGAAGCATGGGAAGTTCTCTATAGATTGGGTTGCACATGATTTCAGATTCGGGTTTCTTCTCTGAGGAGAAAACGCAAGTCGTGGATGGGTTTTCGTTCTCTTTTCTTTTTCATTCCGATTAATCGAAAAACTTCTATTGTGCCGATTTTTTTCAATTATGAGATTATGTAAAGAAGGGCTAGAACTCAAACAATGTAAGTGATAATTCCAGATCTATTTATCATTCAACTCAAAAACTTCATAGAAGAAGTTTTTGAGTTGAATGATAAATAGAAGAAGAAGCAGGTGATCATGTTGCTGATTTCTTCTTTAGTAATCTTCATCTCAAAACTTTTAATCATTGGTAAATGATGATTTTGCACAATGGTGATGATCATATATACATGAACAAAATATTGCAATAGTGTTTGATCAGTGGGCTGTTTGCAAATTTATTAAGATTAAACTTTGAAAGCAAAACTAAATAGCTGTAAGAAGATGATATTTTAGAAACCTCTGTATCCATGAGAACTTAGAGCAAACAAATTAAATTTATATCACCATGTCTTGGTGTAATAATAATACAAACCCTAAAATAAATGAACAAAGATCATCCAGAAATTAACCGCTGCATCTATCTCACTTGCTTCACTCCCTACACACACAAAAATACAAAATACAAAGCTTTAGCAATTTAGCTACACCAATATCATATATATTCGATGCTTTTCAACGTATCAATCATCTTAGTCATAAACACTTTTGTGAACATAAGAAGAGATCACCAACAAAGAATAACTAAATCGTATGAAAAATTGTTAGTACTGATTGTTCCCCCCCCCCCCCCTTAATTTCAGATTCGAGATAACATCCATACCTGAAAAAACATAATAGTTGAATGGAAACTTAGAAATCGAACTTGAGCTCTTCCTTGGAATCGGAGAAATAAGTGAGGACGTATGGAGCAAAACGGACAAGGACGATCCAGCCGGTGAAAACAGCAAAATGGGTCTTAAGTTCGTTGAGAGCCACAGCTTTGTCTGGCTTTGGCGGCATTCGAAACATGTCTGC